CCGTCACGGGGGAGGAAGGCAGCCGGCCGGCCTCCGGCCCAGGCCGCGCTTTGCCCCAAGCCGGCTGCCGGCAGCAGCGCTAGCTGGAATGTGCACGTCACTCTCCAGAGCCAAGTGAGTGTTTCTCTTCTGTCAGTGCAATAAATACAAGTGCGTCAAACGTAATGTAAGTGGCACAGTTAGCTTATGAGTATCGTGGGTCAGGAACCTCGGGGACAACCACGCTACGGCAGAAGAATCTCGGTACAACAAGCTACTCTCTGCTTTGCAACTAGCACGAGCCTGCAGGCAGAACTTGGAAGCATGCTGAGCGGTTTATACTACGCTGTACACCCCTGAACAGACCCTCGGGCAGCACGGTTCACTCCGAGCGCTACTGACTAAACCTACAGCACCTGTATCGCTGACGGGGGGCAGGCCAGGCCCCCCAGCAGGCACCACCGAGTCAGCCAAGGACCCTCACCCATCTCAGTGGCATAAAACAGGCCCTGTCCTAGCCCCAGGGCAGGGCAATGACATCTCCAGAACCTCTCCCGGTGGGAGAGGCTCATTTCCACTTCTGCCTCCTGGACAACGTGCTCCCACCGTGGCTGAGAAGCGCTACCGGGGGCGTCGCGGAAGCCACGAGCGCAGGAGGGAGGCGGAGGGAGAGACGGGGGCGAGGGGACACACCAGACTTATTTTTGCATCAAGAACTGCAGACTCTGCCTGCTTTTAGCTACAGAGGAACAGCGTAGCCACTGTTCAGGAAAACCTGACCTAAGGAGTTAAAAGGTAGATGAGGCAAAACCCCTGCCCTTCCCACCCAAAGGAAGCACGTGTCTGCCCGGGCATGTACAGGGAGAATGGAAGACCTTCATTCCCACATCCCGGGCCCGCGTCGTTCATGGAAGGGGGAGATAAAGCAAAAACGTGATCTCACACTTTCCAGCTTAAACTCCCAAGTTTGCAATTTATCTACATCAATCCACTTCAGTCCTAAACAGGAAGCGCGCGTGAAGAAGGGGAGCTGCTCCGCCGAGGACAGCAGGGAAGGGAGCAGGAACAGAAGAGGGAAAAGGGCACTAACCTCTTCCATTAAGTAACGTTTGGAAAGGAAGAGCCAAGAAAGTCATCTTTCATTTTATTTCCAAATGTGTGCATTCAGCCCAAGGTCTGGGGCACACTGTGACTGAAGAGTGAAAGAAAAACACCCCTCACCACCCGGCTCTTCCGTGTATTTGGAATTGCAGCCGCTTAGCCAAAAGGGAAGGCAAAACACGTGTTTCCCAGAAAGAGAACACCTCAGACTCAAGCAAAGACACCTGTGGTATGGAGACACAGCAAAAGCCTTTTGCCTACAAATGAGTCTCTACATGATCCAAACCCAGCAGCAATGTTTGAAAGTGAAAGGAACGCCCTTGGGCACGCCACGCGTGTCCTGGGAATGTCTGTCCTCAGCAGTACCGCGCCGGATTGGGCAGGCTGCGTTGTGCTTACGTTTTTCACGGCTTGGTACTGGCTCCTGGTCCGTTTTCACCCCTCCATCCATGTCAGAAAAGGAAGCCAACAACTTCTTTCTTCTACCACCACAGATGCTGATGCCGGGAGCTGGAGTTGCCAATGGTACACATCAGGGCTGGAGTGGGAATCCCTGACCTCCTCTGGTGCCAGGGATGGAAGAATGGCAGACTGACCCGCAGGGAGGGGGGAGGAAAAGGAGAGAGAGGAAGGAAGGAAGGAAAATCTCTGTGCTGCCAAGCAGCCAGTCTTCAGTGATGCTGCTCATGTTCAGATTTTCCCAGGAATTCCCTAGGAAAGGAAACGACACAGCAGTGACACTCAGCTCCCCTACACTCTGGTATATCCTGCAGCCTGTGGGTCTTCCTATTCCCCGGGCAGGCCCCAGGACGCGAGCGCTCGCAGCTGCAGGGAACAGCACTGGGCTTTGCTCTTGCTCATCCGTGGCCTCCGTTAGAAGACACCAGCAGAAGTAGCCGCTCTCAGGCCCCCAGAGCATCCTGGCAAAGGTGAGCCAGAGTGCTCCCCGTTTTCTGTGCTTCCCCTTCCCAAAACCTGCTCTGCAGGGAGGTGGAGAGCTCTGTGCTAAGCCAGTCCCAGAGTCTCTGGAGACCAAAGGGGGTTTCACAGAAGAGTTGCCCGCTACAGACGCCTGCTACACGTCTCTCTGGTGCCTGGACACAAGTCACGGTGTGCCCCACAGCCCCAGGCACCAGCCCGCCCCCTGCCCAAGCCAGAGGAGCCCTGGGAGGCTGGGCTGTTACCGCAGTATTCGAGGTAGCTCTGGACTCCTGTAGATGTACTTGTGCCGGTAGCCGAGGTCTGTGTGGAACGGAACAAACTGCACCTTGTAGTCTCGGAAACTCCGTGACGTCGCAGCAATGTTGTAAAGCTGAATCCAAAGGGAAAGCAGGTAAGGGACACGTGTCACTCCAAACCAGCCACCCCTGCCAAACCCGCACCCCTCCCAGGAGTGGGATATGGACCCTGGCTTGACCAGCTTTGCCAGCTCTAGCTCCGTTTCACTAATGGTTTGCCGCTTCCAACCCCACAGAACGGGCTGCACATCTCCACACACACCTTCCCACTGCTGACTTTTTGCCTGGCTGGGATGTCGTTCTATCCACACCAGTTCCTCCCACAAGGGCAGTGTGCAAAGCCACACACGTACCTTCTTTCCTAGATGAAACGGTACCACCGGGTCATCCTCGGCATGAAGGATGAGCAGGGAGCAGGAAATGTATTTCACGCTGTAAGAGAGACGACAGCGTCACAAGGGCTCAGAGCAACCCCGTCTCTAACACCACCACACTTGGATTTTTCAGGGAAACCACACCCCGTCTCTAACACCACCACACTTGGATTTTTCAGGGAAACCACAGTAACAAACACATCCTGTGGGTCGTTAACTGCAGGTCAGATCTTGAAAACGCAATTATCTGGGCACCATTCATTTGATCCACAGAAAATTTACTAGTGAAAGGTGTCCTTGGAAAAATTTATTTGCTGCTCAGACCAGAGAAAAGTGACATCCCTCGCTGCAAAACACCATCCCCCATGGTCTGGTTTGGTGTCAGTACCAGAAACCAAGCTCACAGATACTCAGGCCCTTGGATGAAAGGCTCAGACATGTTATTCCAGGCAGGGGGGTTAGGCAAATGCTGGGAACTCTTCCCAAACCTTCAATGTCCCAGTGCTGCTGTTTAACGTGTAACGCATACGTGAAGAGTATAAATCACACGGACTACTTGGCGTCTCCCCGAGTAGTGCCTGTGCTCTGCTGCGTCTGTCCTTACCAAGAACAACTGAAAAAGATAAGAGCTCCACAGTGCAAAGCTGTGTTGCACCCAGGGCCGCGAGAGTACCCAAAATCCCTTCAGCAAGTACAAAGCTCCAACAAAAGCAAAGAGCAGAGGGTGAAATCCGATGGCTATTCTCCTTGCTGCTTGCCACGGCTGAAACCCCACCAAAGAGGGCACTCACTTCTCGTCATTTGCAAACTTGATTCCACTTGTCGTGATAGGGTCAAGGAAGAACCAGTCAAACCCAGGGAAGTATCTGTATATCTGAGAGGAAAAATTGGCGTTAGTGGCAGGCACCAGCGGGACGGTTATACAAATAGGTAACGGGGCAGGCCGCTGCCACCCCAGTAACATCCCTCAGCTGCTGGCTGCACTCTCTGCAGTGAGATGGCCCACGTTCCCACCAGCACTGTTTCTCCTCTACTGCCTGAGGCCCATCTTATCGGCCTGCTCAGGAGCAGGCTCTCCGGGTGCTTGTAGGGTCAAGATCTCTAGGTATCTTGTTGCTGCTGGCAACAGTCTTCCCCGAACAGAGCTTTATTCCAGGGCTCCCCACCAGTCCAGCCACATCCGACACCCACCCGCCGAGTTCAGAGCCGACTCGCAGCCAGGCCGGATGGAAGAGATGGCCACGTCAGTGAGCTCACCCAGGAAACCAGCACGTGCAGAGGGGCCACGTGGAGGGGGCAGGGACCAGCTTTGCCATCGCTTCGCTCGCAGCCTACAGAATAGCCTCCTGCGACAGGGAAGTTATAATTCCAGAAGAACGGGCTGTCCGCTGCTGGGAGCGGAGCCTGTCTTCCCCTCACTACATTTACTGCCCTTCCTGATCCCAGTCGCTGTTTTCTTTAAGCGGGCCCACCAATGGCTCCGGTACTGCTTACTGCATTGGTATTCCCAGGATCTGCCTTAGGCGCAGCTCTTTACCCCTGATGCTTATAAACATTGCCACTGCCCCACAGCCACCCAGTTAGCTCAGCTACATCCCTTCCAAAGGTTCATTTCTAAGCACGCAGCCACATGCCACTAGTGTGAGAGCCACTGTGTACTTGCCACAGAAAAGGGGTGACTCCGCGCCTCCTCCCGTATGTTGGTGAACGGAGATTCCAGGATCAGGGCATCTGGGGGTGTTTCTGAAATGCCAAAGGTGACGTGCTGAAACACAGGGGTGCAGACACCCAGCAAGGTCAGGGTCTGCCTCATGAGCTGCTGCCACCACAGCGTGCCAAGGACAGCCTTGTCACAACAGCAAACATGCAGATGTCTGGGATGCCAGCAGGAGCCAGGCTGAGTGGGAAGAGCATCCACCCACCAGACTTACCTCTCTCGCAGAGGCGTCTCACTAGATTCGTTGCAACCCTGGAAAAAAGAACGACGAGGGTTTAATCTGGCGCAGGCCCTCCCAAAGCACAGGTTTTAGGGATAGTAGGTGGCAGGGTACAACTCCACCACCGTAACGTCAGCCCCTCGCACAGTCTGGGATCTGGGCAGCCAGCCCTCGACGACTTGGGTTCCCACACGTCTCCCATATCCAACTGTCCCAAATGGCATCAGGCGCCCGCATTCAGGCAGGTGAATGAGCCCGAGGAAGCAGCACACTGTGCGGCCACCTGGAAGGACCTCCTTCAAGGTGCTCTCAGGCTCCCAGCACACCTGCAGCTGTGTGACACAGCCTCTTCCCCCACACCATAAGGGCTGAGAAAGAAACTGGGACATGCAAGGGTATGGGCAGAGTTGGGTATGGGCTGCTGGAGCACAGGGCCCCAGGGTGACACCGCGAGGAGTTTCCATAGCCGGGCCAGAAAGCAGCAAGGTCTCCCCTGTGCATCTCCTTAATGGGACAGGGATATTTCCACAGTTGCTGCATCCTCCAAGCGCAGCCTATTTCAAAAACCTCCAACTCCAGGCTGGCTACGGTCACCAGGGAACTCTGTTGGGAACGACAGGCTCAGGCCACTCAGACTGCAGGGCATTGGGAAATGTCACAGGCACGCTCTAACCCAGAAAGGGATGCTGAACGTCGCAAAAATTTAGTGGAAGAGCCAAAGGAAAAGCCTTTTCCATCTCTCAATGCGGGACGTTCAGTATCACAGCAACGAAGAGGCACCATCCTGAAACACCTCCCTGTCCCAGCAACACAGCAGTCAGACAGCAAGGCAAGCTGCTGCGGTCTCAAACGGATAAACCCGCACACAGCCCAGCTCAAAAGTAACCCCCGTCTGCCCTCTGCACATCAAGGGAGTAACAGCACATGCCGCCTGCTTCTGAACACGACCCACCTCCCGACAGCAAAGGGAAGGGAAGGAGCAGGAACAGAAAGTTAAAAACACACGGGCGAAGGCGCTCGACGCTGCGCTTCCCCGTGCCAGGCCTGACCACGTGAAGGTCACAGGTGGCCAGCAGCGCAGTCACGCGGGCATCTGCACCAGTACTGGTCACACACGGCACGTTTGCCAGGGCAGGAGAAAGCATTCGGTACGGGCAGGTCCCGTGCAGGCGCAGCTGGTCCGTGACACGCTTTCAGTGTCCCACTTCTGCTCTGAAGGGCATGCAGGCATAGGATCACCACAGGAAGAGGTCACTGCAGTCCCACTCTGGCTCCCCTTGGTCAATCTGCATTACATTATCCTAAGTGTCTTTTTTCCCAGTGTAACCCTCTGGGCAATGAAGGTTCGAGATCAATTCCTGCACAGTCATTCACTGTAGCCCTTCTCACTCTGTAGAGTGCAAAGAGGAAGCTACTCTGCAGCAATTACGCCACGGACTCCAAGCCAACCCAGCCTGGGGATTACGGAAAACAGCAGCACCTTCATCCAAGGTCAGTGTTTGAGGGTTTTCAGAAGCTGCTAAGTCCCTCTGAGATCGCATGCTTACCCCGTGCCCAGGGAGTGTCCCCATATATAGACAGGGTTGTCTCCACTTCTTGCTTTTATCCAGTCGAAGACGTGAAGGGCGTCATAGGTCATTCCCCTCTCTGACGGGCTGCCTACTGAATCGCCCCAGCCTGCAACACAAATCACACATCAGCAAAGGCAGCCAGCTCTGGCCGCGCAGCCCAGCCGCCAGCGGAGGGACCTGGGACGCGGACAGTTTGCTTACTGCACTGTGCACCTCTGCAGTTTGGGGCTGAAAGCCCTGACTGATCCGCAGTCATTTCACTGGGGTAACTGCTGGCTGCCAAGGAGCTTTCGTGGGTTCAGACAACAACAAAAACAAGAGCTGGGTCTCAAACACTGTCGTTCTTGCACCCTACCCATCTGCAACAGCTCAGCTCCCAAACCCTACCTGCTTTTGCACGCACGTAACCAATTTGTAAGTGGAGTCTCTAGCAGCACAAGAACTGGATGCTTAGGGTCAAAACCCCAAGCACGTGTCACAAAGCTGTTGCTTTCCCCGTGCTGTTTCACCAGTGCCCTCAAGCAATTTTCCATGCTCCTGATTGTTTTGGCTCTGTCCCTATTGCAGCATATCAACACATCTTATGCTAAGCAGCAAGCATCCCACATCCCTTCCAATACCTAGTAAGCAGACAGAGAAGCAGCTGCTAGCAGGACTGAAAAACAGGGCAAGCTCCTACAAATAAACCCCTCCCAGATGTCTCTTGATAAAAATGCAACGGATTAATTTCTTTCCTGTGTCTCCAGTGGCGTTACGCTGCAACCACGGCTTAAATACTAAGAAGGGAAAAAAAGAGCAACACATGCCTGACCGCTGGCGGCACAGAGCTGGGAAATGGTCACGGCTTCTGCCAAGGGTGTTACCAATTGTTGGCAAATCACTTACTCCCTGTCTTAGCTCACCTATCAGCTTTTAAAAAGAGGTGCAAGTGCAGTTCCCTGTGTGGCCTCAGGAAAGTCAATCAAATCATACCCAACAGACTGCATCTAGGCAGGCTTACTAGTTTCCAGGTACACACCTGGAGGATGCTGTAACTGGACGCTGTAGCAGCGTACGTGCCTGGGTCAGCCTCTGCTCCTTAGCTCCTCAAGGACCCCTGTGCATGAGGGCAGACAGGAGCCAGAGTCCACTGGGCTGGACATCAGGAAGCAGTGCTACACAGCAAGCCACTGGAAAGAAATTTCTGGAAGCTCTTTGGCTAGCCATGAGGTAAAAAAGAAGCAATAACCACATCTAATTAGCCAGCAACAAGTGTTTATAACACAACTCCTCCCCTGAGATCCAAACCCAAAGAGCAACTTCCTTGTTGCTTCTGGAGACATTTAAAAAGCGTTTCATAATAAGAGAAGCCCACATACCTCGATAATCAAACGTGACCACGTGGTACCCAAGGGAGCTGAGAACCTGGAGGGGAGAGAAACATGCAGAAACCCATCACAGACACTTGCACAGCAGCCGTGCTCCTGCCTCAGGCCGCGGTGCAGGGATCTAATTTATAACATCACCGGCCTGGCGATGGTGAAGCGACAACTTACAGCTTCACCGTGGAGCAGGCACTTGGCAAACACTAATCCTCTCAGCCTGCTGGTTTTACTACATCTGTTTCCTGGGCCTCGTATCAGGCTTGGATGTTGATTCTCCCTTTAACAGCTTTGCCCTTAAGATCTGCAAACATCCTCTGTTTCCCTTACACTTTCAGGTTTTCCAGTGAAAACAACTGCTCCATTTAAAATATTCAAATTGGCATAAACTTTAACATAACATATAGGAGCCCGTTTAGAAGGCTTAAATGTTTACATCCAAAGCATGCAATTACTCTAGCATGAGGATTTAGGTTACAGCCCATGGTAACCCTAACAGAATCTGAAGCAAGTAAAAATAACCAGCTTTAGATCAACTTGCTCAGAAAAAGTACCTTGGTAACACCAACACTAGCATTCCAAGCTACCATTGCTCGGTATGAACCAAACAGCTCCGTGGCAGATAAACACCACCAAAGAAGTCACAAAAAGGTTAAAATGCTGTTGCTGTCATCGTCTGTGTAGGATACATGATTAAAAAAGCAACCTTAGTACTGCACTGTACTCTGAATGTTCTAATGGACAAAAGGAAATCATCTCATAAGCTCAACACTATTTCTAGTGTAAATGGAATCTTCACAGCTGAGCAATTACTGTTAGTTCAGATCTCATTAGTACAGAAAAAAAAGAGAAAAAGAGGACAACATAGAAAAGAAGGGTGTTGGCAACTCGGCTCCTTTGCTGGAAGGACTATGGTGATGATAGTTTCTCCCACTTCCCTCTAGGATCCATCCTGGGGCTGATTTTCTTACATTTTGGACACGCACTGGGCGTTTCTTTCTCCTCACTGGACTGTCACTCCACGTTACACCCCAAATTACCACACGGGGCATGTTCAACACGCACTGGACATGCTCCCTGTGACCTCTAAACCCATTTCTGCCCAGCTCCGAGGTCTGCATCCCTTTGGCTGCAGGTTGGCACAGCCTGGGGGGCTCCGGGCTCAGCCTGTGCCCCGTTCTATGCCCACTCATACCTGTGGCTCCTCTGCAACGCCCCCGGTGTGCCCATCTCCGACGTCCCCGCTGCCACACCAGCCCTGTACTGCCCTGCACGGTATCACTGTGCTGGCTGCCAGCAGGGATTCATGCGACACAGGGTACCCCTATCTGTAACTTGTAGGTTACACATTACAGCCATTTCCTCTGTAACCCTAGCTGTATGGGAACTGTTACTATGTGTATTGCAGTTAGGGCTACCTTTACTATGTGTAGTACCCTTATGGTTACCCCCTGCAATTACACAAAGTTCAGCAAAAGTAAAACCAGCCAGCCAGTGGCCACGGGGTTGTTAGATAATTGCTTTTATGGCAAAACAAGCTCAAAACAGTGCCCCAGGGAGCTCCAAAACAGGGTCAGATGCTGCCTTACAAGCCTCGGCTGCCTTCCTAGTAGTGCTAGTACCATACACACTGAGTTACAAGGCTGCAATTTCCCTTTCGGACAGTCCACTGACTCCAAGCTATCGCTCAGGAGCCCAGCGAGGATGCTGCAACCCCTCCTGTGGCTCAAGGATTCTCACCAGGACAGAGTAATGGATTTTCTCAGAGGTGTTCACCCTTTCAGTTGCCTCATGGCAGCCTGCACCCATCCGAGGGCAGCGCGCAGCTCTTCATCCTGACGTGCTGCCGCTACTCGGTTGCCGAGCGTTTCATTTTATAGCCAATGCTGCTTGCACAACGGATAAAATGGCTATTAAGGCAAGAACGACAGGATGCAAAGCCAAGTTCAGAACTCCTGTGGCGTTGTCGGAGGGATCGCAGGCAGGAGCAGCTCCTGGGCGTTTGGACTGTGCAGCTTTGTGGCAGATCAGGTATGCGCTTGGTGTGCAACATCCTTCACCTCCAGGGCTCGCTGCACCACAAGCTGGGTTCCAGCGTCAACAGTCCGGTTAGTATTCGTTTAAATACGACACCTCATGGCACTGGGCCTATCCCGGCCCACAGCTGGTAGGGTACCTGCACACTGAGCAGCACTTCTACAGCAGCAGTACAATTTTAACCGCAACAGGTTACGTCTGCAGGTATTACCGGGTAGAGCTATGCACAACCGGGCAGTTTACCATAAGCTGGGGATGCACAGTATGCGCACAGCCGGAGCTTACAGAGACAACTGGCACCTGACTGGAAACGGAGAGAGCATTTCCATCGTCCCACTAGGATCTACGTGGTCACCTGAAGACAGAAAGCCGGTAACTTCACGTATGTGTCATGCTGTTTGCCCTGCTGCTCGCTGGCACCCCCAGAGACTAACACGCCACACCACGCTCACACCCTTGGTTCTGCTATTTCTTGGCACTAGCCATGGGGTTATGCTACCACTACCCCTCTTTCAACACCACTTTCCAACAGCTATTTGGAATTTATATTAGCAGATGCAACTGCAACAGCTTCCAAGTCGCTCAAAGCTCCTGTGCTTTTTGCTATTCAGGTCTCTTCTAGCAATTCCTGTTTCTTTTTCTTTGGCAACGGGTTCCCTTGGAGGCAACGTGGTCTGTACTGTGTGCACTTCGAAGGAAAAGACCCTTTACAGCAGTGGTGTTAAATATGCAGTTGGTCTACTCTGGGGTCTGCACTCACAAGTTACTTCAAATGTGCTTTGCAAATAACTCCGGTAACATCACAGGGAGGTGTGGTTATGTATATGTAACAGCACAGAATACCACTGCAACCTACACAGCAGCAGAATAATCAGGTAAAATATTTAATTAACAAGCAAGGTACTGCAGGACAGCTTTTTCCATCAGATGTCTACATACTGGTTTTAGTATGCTGACTTACCTATTGGACCCCCTGACAGGACATGCAGAACACAAAGCTCCTTCTCACAAAGTTTGGTTTTCAGCTTTACAATGGGATTTTACTGCTAAGATATAACATATACAACATCCTGGGAGCATCTCCAGCCCCTGCCTTGCACCAACAGGCTCTTCTGGTTTAGCCTTTAAGAGTACTGCTCTTTCTTGGGTTTTTTCCCCCCTTAGAATTAGTTCAGAACAAGCCTCTGATGAAGCCCTTACAATTTCAATTGGATTTGCACATGACAGACATTTCCTTTGACCCTTAACAGGATGTTTAGTGTAACAATGCCCAATGTTTCATTTACAGTAATCACTTACGCCCCTGTAACAATACCGTATTGTCAGAGACTGCTATGAAGTTGGGTAACCTCACGCACAGGGCAAAAATCCCTCTGCATTAGCTCTCCACTACACATGAGCACAATGACAACTAAAAGCTGCGCTGCTGAAGCCCCAAGGTACAACTGCAAATTGCAGGAGCTTGCAGCAGTCTGTCCCTGACAGTCGAGGTAGCTGGGAGAACGGGATTCTTACCAGTTTTAAAAGGTTGAGTTGTGTTATTCACATTATTCAAATTATTCGTGCTTGAATAACACAGTGACCCTGACCACACTGGTAACTGACACCTGGAAAACCAGGCATGAGCAAAGAATAGCTGGACACTTGTCCAGGAGAGAGCAAAGCTGTCCCCCTAAAGCAAGTTTGTGTCTGGTTACCGCTCCACTGCTCCTCCTGCTGCTTCCTCATGGCTCCTGCTTCTGGTTATTGTCTTCAAACACACATCAACTTGGGCAAGGAGGATTCCAGACGCCTGCTGCTCACAGTGTGCAGCAGCGAGTCTCAATTTTCAGTGCTGCTGCTGAGAACAGCTGCTCACATAAACCAATCACTCAGAACGAAAGGACAGAGACCTGTTACAGATATTTCCCTTCTGAGCCTCTTCTAGAGGGTTTATCCTGCTGCTTCCAGCCTACTAGCAGCAGCAAAAAGGACAGCGATCCATCCTGTTCCATTCTGCTGGAACAAGCACGAACCTGGAATTTCTGGCGCGGTTCCGGTAAGCCCACGTGTGTGGTCACACGTCAGTAACTGACTGAATGACAAACTAAGCAATTTGCCCATGTTCTCGGAAGCAAAAATATACCAGACCCAGGAAACCTTGGGTTTTGGTAAGCCGTATTCTCCATATGTGTGCACACACAGAAACGCAGAGGCAGGCAGAGCCTTGAGGATTCAGAAGCACTGCTGCTCTCACCTAGTCTAAATCCAAACCAACTCCTCTGCCCCGCTTGGCCAGCACAAAACACACTGCAGCACAGGCTGGTTCCCTGAAACACAACCCAGCAGATCACTGCACAAGACCATCTTCTCAACCAACTTCCTGCAAATTAGCTCACCCTTTTTTTCTTAAAGGAAAAGAAGTTATCACCTCCCTCCTTGGGGCTGCCAAACAGCATTTTCTAAGCTGTCTGAATTAAAAAGACTTTGCAGCAGAGCATCTTGCATAAGGAGCTGCACTGCAATAAAACTTTGAGTGCCAACACCCTAACAAATTATAAAGAGAAGGAATGACAGCTAAATCCATAGAAAAACCACAGACTCGGACCCCTCTTAATGAGCCAGCAAAACTAATTATGGCTCTTTTAGAAATACGTGATACAAGACCAAGAAATTGTGTGTGAGAATTTCAGCCATGAGACAGTTTAATAAAACAAATGATCATAAAAGTCATTAGGCAAAAGAGCCGAAAGAGCTGAAGTTGCCTGTTCTGCCGTAACACGCCACGGTCTGGGAAATTTCATCGGGTTTTGTACAAAATCTACAGCTCTCAAGATGGCACCACTCCTCCAGGCGCACTGTGCCATGGGAAAGGGGGAAAGCCAGGCTGAACCTGCCTGCCTGACAAGGGAGAAAGTAATCCCCGCACTGGCAGCCTTGAAAACATTTTATTGCTACAAACTACTCTGTGAATAGGCAAGTGCCAGCTTGCTCACCCCTGCCAACGAACGGACTAACGGGGAGGTTTATACCGGCTTGGCCCAGCATTTTGGCATTTAAAAGACCAAATATCGCCTTCAGATTTTGAAGGGTGCAAGGAATCTGAGCTGGCCTCAATCCACGTATATTTTCCCAGCAGCTGGTGATGTATGGCATCACGTACAATAGCATCCTCACAACAAAACCTGCATTAAGGCCAGTGCTGAGAAGGAACAACGGCAAGTTATGGTCCTTGATGGCTGACGAAAACACCCGTTTGCCGACCAGACCCTCTTTTCAGGGAAGTTTGCTGCCTCCCTGGGGCCCAAATTAGGGACCTCGCCACAGAAGCGAAAAGCTTAGCGCAGCCTTCAGACTAGTAGCCAT